GGTGATATGTTGGGCCCTGTCATTCATCACTCAGCTGCTCTATTGTGAGCCTGGCTAACTGCCAGCCACCTGTGATGGGCCTAGAGAAAAGATCTTTGTAGCACCTACAATACAAAGAGAAATTTTTAAAAAGAAATCTTTATTTACAAAAAATGTTAAGGAACAGTTTTCATATAATCAGTCAGATTTACATATAAGTTAAGTTGTTATAACTTAGGACCTCACATTACAAGGTGCCTCCTATTCCCAAAGATAGTTTATACATATTTCCAGTTATTTGCTGAAGAGGAAGTGCCTCTTGTATATTATATCTTAAGTTGAACCAGCTTAAATCTGGATCTGCATACAATTTTATTGTGACTATTATGTCAGCAGTGCCAAAGTCAGGACTGATACCACCTGTGACTTCAGGTGCACAAGAACATTTCAAATAATTTATAACTGTGAGAGTGGTTATGTGTGAAGGACTAAACAGGCTTGGGATGGAGGAGGGAGTCGAGAGACAGCACACTGGAAATAACACTCTCCACTATGCATTTAACCATAGAACAACATATATTTATTTTTCAAGTAAATAGAAAATTACGAAGATAGAAATAGAGGCGAGTCTAAACCTTTATGCTCACCTGTACAAGTGTTCACAACTGTGTATGTGGGTTGTAAACTACCTGGATTTGTGATGGTTGATGATCACTTGGATGTCCTGAAGAATGGAGGGCTTGTTTATGGTGAGTCTTGAATTCAAAAGTCCACAATAGTAATATCCACAACAGGTTCAATTGATTGTAAATTAGTTTGGAGTAGTTAAGATTTGGAAATGGCAGGAAATCGGAAAGATCGGTGGTGGAGCACAACAGGGATGAGCACACACTTCAAAAACGGGCTGGTGAACTCTCTGACCTTCTTTCCCCTTTCTTTTAATTGGGGTCTTCTTCCTGCTGTTTTGATGCCCAAATTTGGGAAGGTTATGCAGGAAGCCAAACCCTAGTTCAAACCCTGATTTTTTCTGAGAGATTTTCTTCAATGAGTAATTTTTATTAGAAGATGTATCACTCATGAAGGACATGTTATTGGTGGGAAAATCTTGTGAATTTCCTCTTTTGAATTTGTCAATTTTAATTGAAATAAAATAAATTCATTTTTTTTGGTTTTTTTTTTGTTTTTTTTAATTTAAAAAAAAAAAAAGATTAGGATTGTTGAAATTACAAAAATTACTAGCCCAGGTTCTCACATTATTGTGATTGATTTAAAATATGTGAAGTTATTTAATAAGTAAACAAAGTTTATCAGTCTTATGTAATTTTAATAAAATTTAATCCTTTCACTGTCATAGTAACATTTGAAATAGCTTAGTTTTAATTTTAAATTTTGGATAGTAATTAAATTTGTTAGATTCAATTAAATTTACTTGTAATTACAAATATATATTCAATAACTTTATGAAGATTATTATTAAATAATTTTCAGACATATGGGATTCATCACAAGAAGGATGGAGAAATTGAATTAATAACTTACGTTGACTATGTGGAATATGACGGTCCTGCTTTTCGTGCAGGAATGAGACCAGGTATAATTTTAAATTGAAAATAAGTTACATTCTTTTACCAATATTTAATGTTTAAAATTTTTTGCATTGCTTTTTATAACTAGGTGATGTCATTTTATCTATCAATGGGCACGATATGGAAAAAGTTGATCATAAGACACTTGTTCGTTACATCCAGAGTTGTGAGAAAACAATGAGAATGGTGGTTCTTTTTGAAGACTGTGTACATAAAGTTGAACTACATATGAAATATTTGCAATTAAAAGTAAGAAGTTTTTATTTGTACGAAGTTAAAATTAGTTTTAATGAAAAACACATTTTGATTAAAAATATTAAATAATTACCAAATGTTCTATAAGGGATTAGTTTTCAATATTGAGTTGTGTAATAAGTAAGGCTGGGAAATCTAGGCATTAAAAATCATATTTATAAAAATAATTTATATGACTTTTAGTGCATACATGTCCTAGCCTTGGTAACAAGTTTGGTGTTTTGTAATCTCTTTTCTTATGAGCATTGTCTTAAGACACCATTACATAAGTATTATTTCAAAACACAAAATTTATGTAAAAGCAGTTAAAAAAGTTAGGATATTTATTGGGATAAAGCACTTTTCAGGATTTTTAATTTCATCTTCAATCTACAACATTCATAATAGATTGAACCTTGAGTTTCACAAGAATGAGAAAAAGATTTGAGATAAACATAATAAAACAGTAATAGGTTAATAAGCTTGATTGGAGATACTGTATTTTATTAATACAATAGCAAGTATAGTACGCATCTGTATCAGGTATAAATAAAACATTTTTGATGTACCTTAACAGAGATAGTTTGTCAATAATTTCTGATGCCTGACTTTCTTAACCAATAAGACATATTCCAAACTAGTAGCTAATCAGAAAAAAGTAGCATTAATTGCAACTATGTACTGTATTGCAAGAGATGTTTATTAATTGCAGTTTATGCTTTCAAAATGTAGTTGCTGAACTTTGAATTAGTAATTGACACTTCATTCCATAATTTGAGATAGCGGTTTTGGGAGAAAATTATTTGAGATAAACATGGAAAATATATTGAATTTAGACTGAAAAGGCAGGGGGAAAAAATAAATTTTGAGATAAATCATATTTGAGCTATACAGGTTCAAGTATATATATTATAGAATGAATATATTCTATAGAATGTTGTGATCTAAAGATGGAATTCTGAGAAGTGTTTTATCCCAAATAAATATCCTGACTCCTTATACTGCTTTAGTTTCTTTACTCAATACCCATTGAGATTTTTTATTTTTCTTCCAGTTTAGAGAGTACCAAACCAAACTGTATTATTGACATTGTACACAACTGAGCTGCATTTTACAAAGAAACTTATCCAAAAATCTGAAGTATCAAATAATTGAAAAGTAAAAGTTACTTATGACTAAATTAACTTTAACTATTGCCAACTTCAAATTGAAGTAATTAATAATTTCAGAATTAATTTGAAATCTTCAGTATGAAAAAAACTGAATGCTAAAATTGTTAACAAATAATATCCAAAATATAAATCTTAGTTATTAACTATATATGACTGTCCAAAGAAAGGAATCAAAATAAAATAACATTTGCACTTGTTATTATATTTTAAAGTGATGAGAGAGAAAAATGCTAAATTCAGGAAACCAAAATAAATTTTTTATTCAGAAATGATTTCGTTCTTTTAAAGCTGATAATCTGTAAAAGAATGAAAACATTTCTGAATAAAAAAATTTATTTTGGTTTCTTACATTTAGCATTTTTTTTTCTTTTTGTCATTTTGAAATTAAAATATAGAAACACTATTGTAGATTCAGACCACATCTAGAGCATTGTAACATGCCAAGTATTCTAGCCAATTGAGCTAGGGTAAATATGTACCAGTAACTTAATTGATTAGAGCATTCATCATGTTACTAAAGAATGTGTTTGGATCTCACTCAAAGTCAAAACACACTGTCTGGTCTTGGTTTCTTTCTTTTGAATGTAATTTATACACCAGCATTTATAACTTAGATGAGTTTTGTTTATTAATTTAGAAGCCTTTTTTAAAAAATCCAATTGGGAATTAACTTTTATTTTGTCATTCAGAACTGATAGTTTTGTTGTAATGCATTGTTCTAGACTTGATCTTTGTCTAATGTTGTTTGTTTTAAATTTTAAATTATTTTAGTTATTAGCTCTTCGAAGGATGGTTATTTTTCAAATATATTCCTCTCATAAGTCTACTAGCGTAGTGAGGGAGCGAGGAGGTCTGTCATTCCCCAGGTGTCACTTGCAGAGGGGCGCCAAACGGTCTTCAAGACAAACAGATTTGTTTCTGGAGGGGGAGGGGGTGCCAATAAAATGTCGTGCGCTGGGCGCCACTTATGTTTGCTACACCACTGCTAAAGCCATTAATTATTTGATTTTGTGTGGGGTTAGAACAAGTTTTATAGTTGACTCTGAATCACACCATTTTTAGGAACAGTTTGATCTGTATTTGTTGTTAGGTATACTGGTGTAAGGTTCACTGATATTAATATATACAATTTTAAGAAATGAGATTATATACAAATATATACAATTATTTATTTTGCTTTAAATATTCATTATTTTATAAAGTAAAGTGTAACAAGGTACATATATGGGATGGGTATACAAATCAACAATTTAACTTCAGTGATAAAAAAATGATTGTAAAAGAATTTTAAACAAAAGTCAAAGTAATTTTTAAATATTTATAAATAGTAATTTATTAAAGTATATATTAATTTTATTATGAAGTAAAATACTTTACTATGAAAATCTCAACACCAGTCTTACATTTTTAACAAACACATTTATTAGGAACACACACGTTTTTGGCATATTTCATAAGTCAAAGTCAGGTTTCCAATCTAGCTTTCAATTTGATAACATTTGAAGTTGGAATGTTACTGACAAGTGATGATGATATTTAATTTTTAGAACATATATAGAACATCCTATATTTCCCATGCATTCATAATTCCTCATATATATATATATATATATGTAATACACAACATTAAATGAATATGAAACAACATTTAGAAATATATATGTTTGTTTGTGGTTGACTTATAATGGCATATTCTTACGTGGTTTATCATGTAAAGATCAGTTTTATCATTATATAAAGATTTGCCATGCAGCAGATATATATTTGCAGTCTTTGATTTATGTGTATTAATTATGGATTGTAAATTAATTTTTCTGTACTGATAGGAGGAATTCTATTATCTGCCTCTTCATCTCATGTCTGTCACAACTTTAGTCCCAACCTTTGACAAATAATTTTTATTGTAAATTAAAAAATGTATTATTTATTTATTTATTTATTTATTATTATGAATCTATGTAATATTTGAAATTTTATTTACTTTCAAAATTTGAGAGTTTGTTTTTATATTTGATATTTTTATCTTTAGAGGGTGCTACAAGAAAAAAAATATGAATTAGAACAATTATGTGAAAAAGAACAACAGTTAATTCAAGGTAATGATTTCAAATATTTTTTTATAATACTAATTAACATAAACTAGAAAAAGATAAACTACTAAAATAAAATATTAAGTGCTGACATTGATTATGTAATTTTGCATTTTATATATATATATATATATATATGCTTTTCTGTTTTTAAAATTTATAAATAATTTAAAAGATTTAAAAGAAAAGTTGTATTCAATTTTTCACCTGATGATGATAGCTTTATGCTATTCGAAAGTGATTGTGAACTCTTTTATTTGCTAAAGTTACCATTTGTAAAGCCACAACACTGTAGTGAAATTACGTTATAAAATTATAAATAATTTACATTTTAGAAATTTAAAAATTGCAGTAATTTCATCAAAATTTATTAAAAGTATTTCATTTATTATTTTCACATTACAAAATATATTTATGATGCAAGGTAGCTAACAACAGTATGGAATTTAAAAAATTATGTACATATTTCTAATATCTGAGTTTAATAGAACAGGCAAAAGTTAACTTTTTTACACTTAAAATGCTTTTTAAAGGTTTAAAGTGTTCTCAAGCTATACTATGTAATATCATGGTTGGCAGATATGCAGTTTTTTCATGGAAATGTCTTTCACGAAATTAAAAGTTGAAAATATTCAATAGTGTTTAGGTGTGATGTTGATATTTCTTATGCTCTAATATGTTTTAAGTTCAAATAGATTGAAATAGTTTATTACTGTTGTTTTCTGAAAGACTCCTATACATGATTATTTGTTATGCAATAGTAACTATTTACTACTTAAAAAACTGGATTTACTTATGAATAATAAAACAGTACTCATAATATCCAGCAATTTACTAAATAATAAGTTTAACTCCTAATCAGATTATGAAAAGCAGTAATTGAATTTAGTTTATTTTTCTCTGGTCTAAGTGAAAGATAATTTTTGATATGTATCATTCTTTTATCTTCATATTCTGTTAAACTCCAACCTTCTTTTAATAGATTACATTTTTTTTTTTCTTCTAATTTCTTAAAGATCATTTTAAATTAAGACAAAATAAATAAAACATCCTGTTCAACAGTTGATTCATTTACTTAAGAATTATGAATTACTGTAAAGGTGAACCATTAAACATGGTTCCTAAAAAACATAACTTACTATTATAAAAGTCTGTTTCCATCTCTGTTATGGGATTTGGTTAAGCACATACTGAGACAGCTGGATGGTGAGGGACAGACCCTGACATATTGGGAAAAACCTCCCATGAAAAATTAGAGGTTACTTTCCTGGATTCAATCCAAGATTCCCAGAATCGTAAGCTGGATGGCCAAGACAGTAACACATCAGCCTTTACTGTCTTGGCCATCCTGCCAATTTTTAAATTTTTATTAATATTTATTTTCAGAAACTATTTACATGTTAACTGCTACAGTGTTTTAATACTAACTTTGCTTTAACTGCCTGGTAATATAATACAAAAATAAAATAAACTTACTGAAAGCAATTAAAGTTTTTTTAATTCTGTTTGTTTAAAATATAGAGAATTTTAAACACAAATATATGTAAAATAAGATGAGGAGTTATTGTCTTTTGTTTGTTAAAATATAGAAAGTTACACTCCTGAAGTAAATAAATTATTAAATATTTTTTCAATTTTCTACTGTTCATTTTTCCAAAATAATTAATCACATACAAAAGTGAATATTTTATTCCATTATTTTTTGGTTGATTTTAATGTTTGAGTACTACTTAGTTTATTTTAATATTGCATATTTAGAAAGATTTCATATAAATGCAACAAACTTTAGAACAACATTGAAATTTTGTATTTGATCAGCCATGAAGATGAACTAATAAAGTTTTTAAACTTATTACAAGTTAGTTATACTTATAAAGTAGGTAGCTTATGTTTAGTTTAATAGAAATATTTACTATCTGTGTTGTCTTTAGCAAGTTAACTCTTGCATTTTTATATCAGAATTGTTAACAATTATTGGAGAACTTATTTACAATTATTATATGGAAAAACTAAATAAATACATTTAAAAAAAATTAATACCTTATATAAAAACGATACCTTTCATACCTTTCCATCTTGGATTTATTTAAGATAAATGAACAAATGTTTTTAGTTTATTCATAAATCTGCTTTGGGTTTATGAATAAACTATTGGGTTTAACATTAACATTCTTCTGTGGAATTTCAGAATGCTGTATTTTTTGAATGCTGATGCTAAACCTGAAGTAGGTTTATGGATAAACAAAACACGTTTGTTCATTTATCCTAAATAAATCCAAGCTGGAAAAGTACGAAAGGTATTGTTTTGATGTTAGTTGTTCAAGAGTTATCACTTTGAATTAATACTGTGTTTAAATATGCTTTTCCTTCTTTCTGCTGTGCAGGCACTAAGAGGGCTTTTTAATTAATCATGGCTGTTATGATCAGGCTCACAATGAGGCAGCTGGATGGTGGGAGACAGGATCTGATATATTCAGAACAAGACCGCCCATGAAAAAATTTGAGGATTTTGACCACCTGAATTCAATCCTGGGTCCCCCATAGCAGTAGACTGATATTTTATCTGTGTTAGTCATTTGGTCATATTTTATATAAACAAAACGTTTAGATTATTTAAATTTCTTTTGTTAATATTTTATAAACCTGAGGAACTATAAGATGTACAAGGAAAAAATGTTTGGATTTACTTTTTACAAAAATATTTTTCATTTATTAATGTTTTATGTATAATATGAAAGAAAATTCAGTTGTTTTCATGTTTATTATATAAATTCAATGGAAATACATTAAATTATATTTTAAAAAACTAATTCTTTATCATTGTATTTTTTGAGTATGTATTCATGTGCACAAAGATACAGTATAAACTCAGTTTAACATTTTTCAGTTTAATGTATTTTCACATTTAACATATGTTTTTCATTGTGCATTTCAAATCATAAACCTAATGAATGCTAGTATTATAACAATCAGAAACTGCAACAGTAGATTTGCAGACTCTTTAAACAGCCTTTACATGTAGCAAATTTTTAATTATTAATGATTTCTGGCCATTTTTTATGACCATCTTCGGATAAGATACAATAAATTGAATGATTACATAGCATAACAAATATTTTAAAACATTTATTTAAAAATTGTCTGGCTTTCTAAGTTAAAACAAAAAGTAAAGAATAAAAATATATGTAGCATTTTTACCATATATCTATTTTCGAGTTGTCACAATCCTGATTACACAGATTCCTTTTTTAAGAATCCTTGGACTTTGTATCCCAACCTTTGTTTTCCTTTGTTACTTTTGCTATATTTATTCTCCATTTTTATGACTTTAAGGCAAGTACTTTTATTTATGTATATTTGCTGATTAATTTTGTATTTTTATCATATCTATTTTCTTATATTTTCATGTACATTTGTAGTCATTCAACAGTTTGTCATTAAAAATAACTGAAAACATTAGTAATTATAAGTTTCTGTAGCATGTAAAGATTGTTTAGAGAGTCTGAATGTTAATGTTACTGTATTTAGTGTCTTGATTCTGGGTATTCTTTGGGATTTAATACATCAAAAACTTCATCTTTGGATGAATTTTCAACTTAAATAGCACTTCTTGAAAAGCAATAAATGTACTATATTTTATGTTCAGATTATCAGGAGAGTTGTAAAAGTTTAATGAATTATTGAGATCATTTTCTTACCCTGTGGTAGTGAGAGGACACCATATTCTATTGACACTTTGGCAACCATTGCTGGACTTGAAGATTGTCCTTGCAAGTAGAAATAAGCAACATTAAGTCAGTTGTCAAAGTCCAATGTAGGTTCTGTAGTCCAGAAATGGTATTCCTGTGCAGCTATAAACCTATATACCCAGCTATAGAACATTGTGGCAACAAGTGCAAAACACAAAAAGAAGTACTTTAACACATAATAGCTTTACATTTTAAACTTAGAAACTTCAGCAATTAAAGTACATAATCCTCAACAAGAAACAAACATACATCCTTGATAACTTATTAATTAACTTATTATTATTGTATTATCTTTGTCTAGAGGTATTGATCATTTTACATTATATTGTATGAAATAAACACTTTCTTGGAAGCATTTATACTTGTAATATATGTGTTTTTCTTCACTTTATCCATTCTGAATGCATGTACACTTGTATTTATAGGCTTTGGCATGTTTTATAAAGATGTTTTGGATTCTAAATAATCTGCAATTTAACATACTTTTTCACCGGTTTCTTGAAAAACATTAAATGGAGTTTCTACTGTATGTAATTTTACAATTGAACTGTTTCTTCAGGGTTTAATTAACGAAAAATCTCTATTTATTTTTAATTTTTAATCTACTAAACTCTAATGAAACAGTTCGATTATAAAGTTGTTGTAGCATTTTGAAATCATTTTGGAATCTCCATTTACAGAAGGAAATTTTTCATGATATTTTGTATATGAGAGAAAATATTTATCACAATCAATCTCATATATGCATTCATATTATATTTCTTGCAAAACATTTTGAATGAATGAAAAAATATATAATGCTCAGTTTGAAAAATTTTGTAAAGCATTGTTTAAATAATTTATTGAATCGTATAAATTGAACAGAGAAATTTTAAGGTATTTTTGATTTTACATACTTGAATTTTTAATATGAATCTTATCATATGAATCTTATCATCTTTCATAACTTTTTCCATAGTATAAGTTTATAGTGTAAAATGTTGATTGAAATTATAAACTTGCTATAAGTGAATCACAGTTTATATATTATATTCTGCTGTAGATACTACTATCATCAGTACCCAAATCAGAAATAAAATTTTTCATGAACAGTAATCAAAGATGTTGATCTGTGAGGAACAAAGGGGAAATCTCTCCAATATTTTTGTACTGGGAAAATTGTCTTCCCTCTCAAGATATATATTTACTTTTATTTTATACCATAGTACAGTACATGTACTATATTTTATACATATACTATATATGTGTAGTATGGTATAAAAAAAAAATAATAATAAAAACATAATAAAATATGGTTATTTTATATCATACTAGGAGCAGAAAGAGTACACTGTACACAACAAGTTTACCTTTTTTATATCTACTCAAAATTTGACAATAAAATTTCTCTTATTCATTGTCTTTGATCTGATCTTTTTCTGATCTCTTTGGAGGATCAGAAAAAGAAATTCACTTCAAAAAGAATTCTACCAGTTTAAATTATTGTAATTACAACTTTTTTCAGATAATAATTAACATAATGCACATTAAAACATTGTTAAACTGTCCAATTTTCAACTATGCCCATTAAAATTTCTCAGTGAATGTAACTTATGTTGCATGGCACACATCCAATCTAAACTTATTCTTCCATACAAGACACTTACACCAGCATACCTTAAATTACTCATTTTTACTAACGTTTTCATCTATATATAATAGACATCTTCAGGTATAAATAACACAGAACAAAACAAACAAATTAAAGATGTCCATTTTGTTCTGAAAACGTCTGTTATATACAGATGAAAATGTTAGTAAAAATGAGTAATTTGAGGTATGCTGGTGTAGGTGTCTTGTATGTGTTTAAATTAATATATGTCAGTTTCTGATAGTTATTGACTTATTTTCTTCCTATGTTCACTACAATATATCTTGCCACCATTCTACAACTGCTGCAGACTACTTGTGTAGCACAATGACAAATGATTCTGACTTTGCAAACTGTAGAACACAAAATACCTTTTGTGTTGAGAGTCACCATTTTCATTTATGATATCTTCTAGAGGAGGTAGACAACATTTGAATGCAGATGGGAGATGAAACTTGAACAATTACTCTATCAATTGGTGGATGTCACATACATTAACATAATCACTGTAATTTAAAATGGTAGCATTTGTTTTGAAGACCCTGTATATGCAGATAGACATTAATAATGAAAATCTTTTTGCTTGGGTTTCTGTATTTTGTGAAATTAGTTTGTTTATGGGTATGAAGTTTGCAGTTACCTTTTTATTAATTATATTATATTGTTTTTTAGTTTAAATTATATTCTTAAACTTTATGTACTTATTATTTTTACTTTTAGCATGGAAAGATAGAGGTGTTAGGGTGCCACCGAGTCCATTTCTGATTGCAAGATTATGTTCGGTTACACCTTCTAGTCCTTGCAGTATACATAGCTGTACTAGTTCAGATATTTTGGCTTGTGGAGTTGGTGGAAATTTAGAAGATTCTTGTAGTTGTTCAAGTCTTCTGGAATCTTCTTGGGAGAAAAACAGTTTAATGACATGTTCTATTCATTCAGATCCAGGATTCAAATCGTCATTTCAAGGTACTCACAAACAGTTTGCAACTTTACCGAAAACTTCATTAGCAACAAAAAAGGGGATGAGACACGTTGCAGGAGAAGGTGTCATGTCTACCCCGGAAGGATCCTGGGACTGTCTCGAGTCGCAGTCTAGTACTGGATTATCTGAAAGCACAGATTTTTCTGAGTCATCTAGTCAAGATTCGCACACGCATTCTCCCATACCTAACAGAAAAGAAATGAGTGCCGAAGATCTAGAACAAGAGACTCCATTAGTCGACGACGAAGAGGACGACAAAGATGAAGTCACAAGGCTTTAAATTTAATCAATATGCAATAATTATTTTTGATTCATTTTTATTGAATCTGTTATGAAAAAATATTCTGTGATTATAACTATTATTCTATAAAATATTGTATAAACAAGTTATTTAATAATACTCAAGAGTTTTTAAGAGAGGTAAGTAATTTATTTTTCCTAATTGTGTTAGTTATAAATACCTATTTTGGAAAGAATAATCTTGAAATAAGCATAATTATACCTTTTTAAGACTTCGTCATTGTACCAAATTAAATCTTAAAAACTTAAATTGCAAATTGAAATAAAGCAAAAAAGATGATAATTCTACTAAAATTTCATTATGTACAAAGAAGTTTCAGTTTTAGTTCTTTGATGTTAGTAATGTGATGTGATTTTAACTTAATAAGGAACAATTAATGCTATTTATGTTGTTTTGCCAGCAGGAACAACTTTATCATTAACTATACATAAAGTACAATCAAAAATTAGTTCCAGAATATATAAAATTACGCTATTTAATCATTGAAATTATTAAATAAATTAACTCTTTGTTTATAGATTCTTTTCTATAAGAAGGTAACTCTTTAGTAATCTGGTGTTGTCATGCTTGCATCATGTGCAGTTACAAACAGGCTTGAAAATCAGAATTTAAGTTCAATGCCTTGTTGAAATATAAAATATCCAATTTACAATGATAATTTTTTGTTATTAAACCATTGTAAAACTGATGTAAGAGTTGCAGATTTAGTAAACTGCTTGATCTGATTTTTCAAATCAGTAGTATAGAATGTTATGATGATGAGTATGGCTTTGCACCTGATTACTACGTTACCTTATCGGCAAAAAAATTTGCAACACTAGGAGATAATTTAGTCCTAAGAATGAAGAGAATTATTTACATGAAGTATGAAATCACAAAAAATTGTTAAATAAGTGTGTACTGTGCGATAAAATTCCACTTATTTTAGATTTTGGACAGTTGAAGCTGTATAAAATTTACTTTGTTATTAGATGTGATGATTATGATGTAGAATATTAAATGCTACACTTATATGTTTGAGGATTTTAAAAACTATCTAAAATTTGTCTTTGAAGATAAAATATAAAGAGAAATGTGACAAGTACAGGTGTAAATATAATGAGAAACTTTGACTACTTTCTGAATACGTAAGTGGTAGATTAATAATTTTTTTTAATTAAAAGAATTTTTATCTCAACGAATCAAAGAAACATAACATCTAACATTACAAACAAAATATGTCTACTATGATAACAGTTGATAGAAGAAATAGGGTATAATTTGAATGTGCAGTTATTTAATTTGTTTCCTATGATGCAAAATTTAAAATATTCTGATACAGGATGTAGGCAAAAACTAGGCTTTGTCTTGCTTCTGCTACATGTTAGGTACAAATGCACACGAATATAAGTAATCAGTAGTGGGCCATCTTATACTCTATATCAATTACCTATACTCTTGTGCACTCACTTCTAGATACAAGTGCATTAGAGTACAAGATGGCAACTATGCCACTGAATATCCCCTACTAATTAGTCTTATGCATTTTTATTTAGCTAACATGTAGCAGAAGCAAGATATAAACTGGTGCAATGTCTTTGTCAACATCCTGTATAAGTGATTGTTAGAATCAAAGGGAGGAAACAATTGCATATCTCTGTGTACATTTCATACAAAATGTATTCTATGGGAACTATACTAGTCATACTTCCAGGTGTTGCAAATCATTTTGCTAGTAAATCACACAGAATTTATTTGAAGTAATGATTATAGAAAAAAGTTTTAAGCATTAAAAAAATTTTAAAGTATAACACCAAATAAAATCTATTTTATTGCATGGAAAATTGTAAATTAGATTTAAAGTATATTTAAAAAAAAAAACCTTATATCACTTTAAAATTATAGAATATAATGCTAAACATGTTACCTTGTGTAAGTATTGTAATTTTTACATCTGTATAGTAAAACGTTATTTATTACCATAACCACAATGGAATTATAGAAATTGTTTGAGGTGTATTTGTCTTTTATAATTAAAGAACACTAGGATATTGTGTGTAAAAGAGTGATCAATTAATTATATTTTGCTATGAGTACTTCAGAAAATTAAATTATAAATTAACTGATCTGTGAATTGTAATTTTATTTGATTAGCAAATGTATTTACCTCGGAATATCCGAGTTTAATTGCATCAGGATCAATTAGATAACTCACTTCTTTTTAATTTAAGGTAATTTATGAAATGTTTTGTTGTATATATGCAAGGGAAAAATTTATATATAAATGTATAAATATACAAGAGATGATTTTAAATTTATTTACTCATTTGTGATATATTTTATATTTTTCTCTAAGTCATTAAATAAGAACAACTATTATTATTATTATTATTTTCCTTTTGTTGTTGAATTTTTGTGATAAAAATGCAATTCCTTAAATCATTCATGATGAAGACTCCATTCTATCAGAGTCTAAAAACTGAAAACCTGATACTGTATTACTATTATTATTATTGCAATTACAAGGTTTTCTTAGTTCATAAGTTTACAAATATACTTAAGATATTGAAAAATAAAAGCAAATCTAATCAGGGAGGAATAGGTTTTCTGTAATTGCCACTTGATGAGGTATTTCTGTCAATGTGATATCAATTTTTAGATCTCTCTTGCATAGAATGTAATCTTGTGAACTTATTTTATCAAGTTATTACCCTTGTAAAAGGGTTCTTAAATGTGTAAAAATTAAATTTAAAAAAAACAAAAGGTTATTTATTATTTTTCAAGGAGAATGCAATAGTTGTACTTTGTCCAAAAAATGTTACGGGTCCTGGAATTTATTTCTAGTCATCCGGTTGTCAAAGGGCTGCAATTTAAAAATTGTATAGATGCTGATCTTTTTAAATTTATCAATTTCACATCATATCAATGTCTGTTGAAGCATAAAAAAAACAAAATAAGCAACACCTAGATCTTATCTTTTTAAATGGTGTTATAATTATTTTGTTGTAGTAAATATCATTTCTTAATAAAAGAAGAAAATTATTTGAAGTTGTAGTTAGTTTTTCTTGTATAAAATATTTATTTATTCACTCAGCATTTTAAATATAATACAGTTGTCCCTCAGTAGTCCGACACACCTCCCGTCAAGGTACCCGTCCTCGTTACGTGTCTGCTTGCACAGAAGCATGTCGCGATGTGAATCTCCCCATCCAATTCTTACTCGATGACACACATTTCGTGTGTTTTATGTGAGCAGTTCTGTTCGAACAGTTGGAGTAGAGAATATTGTAAGTTACTGCTAGCAAAACAATGCGAAATATGTAATTATTTTCGGTAATCCGGACACTTTTGGTAATCTGACACACCTTTGGTCCCATACCTGTCGGATTATCAAGGAACAACTGTATTTGTAGTGTGTAATAAAATTTAAATTTTAAAATAACGGCCAATCGATGCTTATTGGTTAAATTTAAAAGGCGGCAATTCGTTATTGGTGGAACTAAAATTCAAAATCGGTAGGCGCTTAATATTATTGGCTGATATTTTCTTTGTAGTAATGTGAAGGTGCCGCCATTTATAATATTAAATTCACAAAATAAATAAATAAATATATATATATAATCTTTATTTATAAGCACTACTTGTTAAAAATTACATAATTTAGTTTTTAGAATGTTAAAATGGTGGATAATAATCATCGTTATTAGTATTTATTTATTTAATTAATTAATAAAGGTTGCCAAGAATTAAAAATAAATAAATAAATTCAATTGTTATTCTTTGCTGTAGTTAAACTTTGACAACAATAATTATGTTTATAAATACCAAAGAATATTTATTTTAATAGTTTTACTAGCCTTGCCATTTTATGTTTGGAACTATAACATGAACCTTGTCCAAACAAACCTTTTTCCAACTCGAATAGTTCTTGGAAGTGGAATTTCTACCGTGCAATCCATTAAAACAGTACATCTACTGTACACTTTAATATACCTTGCTTATAAGACGAAGAAGAAATAATGATATATTAATGTAAATATCAAGACTTTTTAACATACTTTTATTATTTTGTTTTATAAGACAAGTTTGTCTAAAACTATTTCATGGCCAAACCTAATGTAATGCAGTTGTACAACTGTTAAAAAGTGGACTTTATGATGAGGAAAACTTGTTACCAGAACGAATGCAACAACGGAATTTCTAGTTAAAAAGCTATTTTAGTTAGTTTATAACACAAAATGGAATTCTAAATGTGTCATAATAAGATGTCGGACAGATAATGCATTTTTTTTATTTTAGAAACAATTGTGTTAGGTGTGCGTGTGTGTTGTTTAATTATCTAAAACGAAGCTGGAAAATGGCCGAGTATACAGTTTCTTTATGCATCCGGTCGTACCAAGCTTGATTTATGAGAATTTCTCCTTTATTTATTCTCAAGGCTGTTACACCCTTCCCTTTTTTCCCATAGACCAGCTTCCTCGCATTTTCGCATCTTGCATGCATTTAAAAACAATTACAATTAACTTAATTCCTGTGTTTTCTTCATCCATATCATAACGGGGAGGAAGTAATGATGATAAATTTATTTACTATGTAACATCCAGACTGAATTTTTTTTCCTCCTTCATAATTAAACAAGACTCTTCTCGTTTGCTTTTTACAAAAATAGGAAATGGTCATAGACTAATTTTAGCCCTACAAATTGGACTTTCGACCGTAAAGTTGATGTACATATTTTATTTTTAATTAAAATTACTTTTTTTTTTAAATTACACATCGAAATGACGTTACTTAAAATTACTATTAGATTCTAATCTTAGTCCAGGGAGGGAAGGGAAATTCCTACTGATAAAAGGGGGAAACTTGTTAACAATGCCGCAATAATTACGTTTTAATTTTTCTGTTTAGTTCCACTGTTAGCTAAACAGGTTTATAAGTTAAATTAAAAAACAATAAATATGTGTGAATTTATTAAAATTTACAGGGAGTTAGGGATTTTCCCGCAGATAAAATTACTGTAAATGATGAAAAATGTTTAAAATTAATTCTTTCTTTAAAAAAAAATTAATGTTTCTCTATATAATAAAATTTTTCCTCGTTAGTTAATATTCAATTAATGCTAGACAAATTTTTCATTGTTTTCGTTAATTTCTACTTCGATTTCGGATGAAAATTACAGAAATATCGTTGAAAAAAAAAAGTTTTATAACAACGTCCAGTACCTGAATTTCCTGAAATTACAATTTTAATTTGCGTCATCTCACTTATAAAAATTTGTTTTACGTTTTAGAACAAATATAATTTCTAATATTTATAATTAAATCCTGTTCGAATTTGTCTCCGCCAATAAAATTAAAAAAAAAGGAAAAATTTATTTAAAATCAAAAGGGAAAAATCCCTACCAATTGAGGGAACGCTTAAAAAAACTTTTTAATGATCTCAAAAAGGGGAAAATCCTTGCAAATTTAGGGAGAAAATTCGCTTTTTAATCAACAAAAATAAAAGGGAAAATCTCTGACTATTTAGGGGGAAAAAATTCATAAGAAATCTAAATTCGGAAGTATTAACGTATTTTTCTTTTAAAAATATTTCTAATTAGAGGGAAAAGAAGAAAAAAAAAAAACCTTAAAACACCATTAGTCACAGGTAAACTGATACATTTTCTATTACTTGTTCCTGAAATGTTTTTCCAAGAACGACTACTACCTTCTATTTTCTATCATTATATCTGAAACAAAGAAAATCCTTTTAATGAAGATAAACTTTATTTATTTATATACTCTAACAAAAATTAAAAACAAATTTTAATTGAAAGAAAAGATTTTGTCTTCTTCCAAAAAATAAATAAAAATAATTTAATTATTATTAAAATATTTTTGCAAGAATAACTAAATATTAATTTTTGTTATTATGTAAGTAATATTAATAAATATTATATTAAAAGATTGTTATAAAATTCTAATTTTAAACGAAAATCAAATTGTTTTTAATGAACAAAAAAGACGTCACGTGATCGTGGCGGTGTAGGTGTCTTGT